TCGTCGACTTACAACCGGTTGGGTAGTCCTCGACCTACGACCGGTTTAGTCCTCGACTTACAACCGGTTTAGTCCTCGACTTACGATCGGTTGGGGTCGCGGCATTAAAAAGGTTGAGAACCACTGCTCTAGCTAAAAATGACAGGATCCTGGGCCTAGGTGCTGCACTGAACCGTGGCTCTGGGAACCCAACAATTCGATTAAGCTACTAAGAGAAATCTTATCTACCAAAAGCAGAGACGGGTCATTCAAAAGCATGCAAATGTTGCCTTGCAGTTAAGTCAGAGAAACTCTGCGCTCTTTCGAGAATCTTTTGCATGTCTGGCTGCTGAGCTGTGCCAAAAAAAGCCTGTGAGTCAACTCTGAGTCTTAATAATAAGAGTCATGCTTGGAAAAATGCAAACGATTTTTCAAACATCCAGTCTCCTCCCTCTTCTCATCTCCTTGGCAGAGCGGGCAAGAATTCAAAACACGTAAAACAGCAAGCATTTCTTCCCAACTGTTTAGAAGATGCCTCTCAAAGTCAGCTCGGTTCCATGTTCTAACAACTTAGGCCATTATTACAACAGCGTATCTGCTTCCTGAATATTTGAGCAATAATGATTACCCCTATGTAGGACAGACGGGGAGGTAGCCGACCGCCAGATTGGAAGAGCACAAGCGAGCGGTCAAAAACCCCAACTCATTGGTAGCTTCACATTGCAATGAACGGCGCACATTCAGTTTCGCAGCTAATAAGATTGTTGGCTGAGCAGGGACAAAAACAGCCAGGGAAATGATTGAAGCTGGGAAACGACTCCTTGTCAGTCAACAGGAGTGCTGATTTACCATCAGTTTATCAAGTACTTAGGAGGTGAGGGCTGGGCAGCACAAGCAAATGACAGCTAATGACTTAAAAGCCAGCCATCAATACCCCCAATCAACATCTAAAAAGCCACATACAACAAGTGCCCTATAAATATCACACACAGGACAGAACAGAACACGCTCAGCTAGAGAGAAGTTCCCTCAGGACGGGCTCCAACACGGTTCCTAAAGCTCGGAAGACAAAAAACCCCACTTCCAGTGACCGATCCAGATTGGATCCTGTAATATTATCCTGGGACACCTATATTCGCCTTCGTTCGTTAACACTCTACATGCTTAAGATGGACTGATATGTCATGTGGTCCTTGACGTACAATCATTCGTTTAGGACTGTTTGAAGTTACAACAGCCCTGAAAATTTTGGGCTCAGCTGAGACCAAAATTTATGTTGCTAACGGAGACAGTTGTTAAGTGGGTTTTCTCCCATTTTACAACCTTTCTTGCCACAGTTGCGAAGTGAATCACTGCAGTTGTTAGGTTTGTAACACGGTTGTTAAGTGGATCTGGCTTCCCCATTGACTGCTTGTCCGAAGGTCGCAAAAGGGGATCACCATGACCCTGGGACACTGTGACCATCGTAAATATGAGTCAGTTGCCAAGCTGACTGAATTTTGATCACATGATCACAGGGAGACTGCAAAGGTCATAAGTCATTTTTTTTCAGTGCCGTTATAACTTTGAACGGTCACTAAACAAACTGTTGTGAGTTGAAGACTACCTGCATTTGATTAGACAACTGCACACTCTAGATATCTGTTAATATTTTTTTTTCTGATGATGCTAAAAATGCCACCCTATCCTTTGAGACCGCAGCCTTCTATCCTTTACGTAGAGCTAAATGGCACCGGATTTACTCTAAATCAAAATGTAGAAGATTACAGTGGGAGTTGTTTTATACAATCTCACTTTGTTTTACATAGGCCTTCCCTGTAGGAGAAAACAAAATTATTGCCTGGCAAAGTCCAATTCATGTAGACAAAAATGTTGTAAAACACAGACACCTGTACCACAGCATACCTCACTCCCATTTTATATCAGTAATAAATGTAGATTTTCAGTTCTTGAAATAAAATGCCTGCGGAAGGCTGCACACTACCTAACATTGTATTTTATGAAACCCTAAAGCTCTTCCTTGTTAATTACACATAGATCAATGTCTCTCGCACAATTTCTACACCAGAACCGTCTAATTATTTCTCCGCATTAACCTTTCAAAAGCGAACTCTGAATCCTAAGTTAAGAACCGTTGCAAAATAGCATTGACAGATAGTCCCCGACTTACGACCACAGTTCAGCCCAAAATTTCTGTCGTTAAGCGAAACATTGGTTATTAAGTGAGTTTGGCTCCATTTTACGACCTTTCTTGCCACACCAATTAAGTCAGTCCCTGACAGTTGTTAAGTTAGTCACACCGTTGTGAAGTGAATCTGGCTTTCTCACTGACTTTGCTTGTCGCAAAAGGGATCAAGTGACCCTGGGACGCTGCAACCGTCATAAAAGTGAGTCAGTTGCCAAGCATCCGAATTTCATTCAGGTGACCGTGGGCATGCTGTAACAGTCGTAAGTGTGAGAAACGGTCATAAGTCACATTTCTCAGTGCCGCTGTAACTTTGAACGGTCAGTGAATGACTTGTTAAGCCGAGGACTACCCGTATAACAGGGTTGTGCCTTTTTGCGCTTATGAAAAGTAACACATTCCTAAAAAGGCAGAGGAAACAATGAGAGTGCATTGATTTTTCAGGACTGTCAGGTATATTTTGGCGTTACTGGAGGCGGGAGGCTAGAACACAATGGCTATTTCATAAAGTAAAACGAGGAGATATCCTGTTACGGTAATATGTTCGGCATTAGAATCTAATACGATATTATTGTTCAAGACAGATGTAATATCTCCTTTGAGACTGGTAGATAATGGAGACAAAACAGTTGTAGGGATTGCTAATTAGCCACAGAGGAAAAATAAAGAGACATCTGCTATTGGGGAGAACATCTATGAAAAGAAAAATCTAGAGTGGAGTAGGCAACCTTGGCTCTTTTATGACTCGTGGACTTCAACTCCCAGAATTCCTGAGCCAGCAACGCTGAGAGAAAAGAGAGAGTTTCCAAGCTGAGCCATGCTGGCTCAGGAATTCTGGGAGTTGAAGTCCATGAGTCATAAAAGAGCCAAGGTCGCCTACCTAGACAAAATATTAACATGGGGGGACAGCCTGTTGACACCAAAGGGTTGTGTTCCCCATTGTAACATATGGCTGTGAAATCTGGACCACTGAGAAAAAAACAAGTGTTGCCTCTGAATTGTGGGGCTTTGAGAACATTATACAGGCGGTCCTCAGGTAGTCCTCGCAACTGAGTCCAAAATTTCTGTTGCTAAACGAGACATTTTTAAAGTGAGTTTTGCCCCTTGCCACAGTTGTTAAGGGAATCACTGCAGTTTGTTAAATTAGTCACACGGTTGTTAAGTGAAGCTGGCTTCCCCCTTGGCCTTGCTTGTCAGAAGGTCGCAAAAGGGGATCACGTGACCCCGGGACACACTGCGACCGTCATAAATGTGAGTCTGTTGCCGAGCGTCTTAATTTTGATCCTTTAGGGGATGCTGTAATGGTCGTAAGTGTGAAAAAAACGATCGTAAGTCACTTTTTTCGGTGGTGTTGTAACTTCAAGCGGTCACTAAATGAACTATTGTAAGTTGAGGACTCCCTGTATTTTCTTTTTTTTCCCCCTTTTCTTTTGTGCTTTCAATTTTTTTTAATTTTTCTGTTGTCGGTATTAGCTTTTACATATATCACTGTAATGCTGAATTATTATTTAAAAAACAAAGAAAGACGGAGGCTAGAAAGTATTCTTTGGATAGCAAGAAAAGCCAACCAGCCAATATTAAATAAAGTACAACGAGGTTGCTCATTAGATGTCAGGTGGGAAAGACCAAATCTACACAGAAAGTGCCTGCTAGGAGTTACATAAGGGTCAAAGGAATTCAAGGGTGGTTCGACTTAGTCCACTTGTGACTATGTAGGGTTCTAGGCTGATTCCTCTCTTGACTCCGCCCCCAGTTCTGCAACTCCTCCTACACTGGAAGCCCTAACCGAAATCTGAAATATTTTGGCTGTGAAGTCAAGTGTCGCTGAAGAAGACCCTGATGCTTGGAAAAGAAAAAAAAACCCGAAGGCAATGGAAGAAGGAGCCAGATGGTGCAACCATCATAAATATGAATTGCCAAGCACCCAAATTTTGATCATCTGGCCACGGGGATGCTGCAATAGTCATAAGTGTGGAAAACAGTCATAAGTGCCGTTGTAACTTCAGTCACTAAATGAACTGTGGTAAGTCGAGGACTCCCTGTATTTTCTTATTTCCCCCTTTTTCCTTTGCACTTTCCAGTTTATATTTTATTTTTTTGTAGTCGGTATTAGCTTTTACGTATATCACTGTAATGCTGACTAAAATTATTGTTTAAAAAGCAGAGAAAGATGGAGGCACAAGGAGATGGAATCACAATCATAAAATGAACGAGCAATTTATCGATAAATCCTTCAAGATCCAGTTAGGCAAACTATAATATTTCCAATATATTTTCTTTGCCCCTTTTGGATAGCTGGCTAAATTTAATTTTCACTGCAACAGAGATAAGCAGCGGCCCCGCCTGCAGAGGTGAAGGAACATTACACTGAGGCATTCCCATTAATCCCTTCGATGGCCATCGCAAAAAGAAAAAAGAAAAAAAAGAAATAAAAAGCGAATTCTTGGAAATTGAATTCCTGTTCTCCAGATGTCACAGATGTAATACCCCAATTACACAAACCACGGCTAAGTGAAGCATGCCAGCAAATATGCAAAATAAACAGGTTAAGCAAGGAGCTGCAAAGTGCAGACTCAGCCGTTGATTTTCTGGGTGAGCGATAATTAGCACCGTGCGCAATAAACATTTACATCTCACATCAAAATGACTTTTTTTTAGAGCAAGTGTTAATAAAAGATATGCAAGCTGCAAACAAAAAACAAAAAACACACCAAGCTGTTGGAAAGCGCTGGCTATCAAATGCTTCTGGTTGTGTAGCCTGTCATTCTCTCACACACACACCCCATTCGCTCCACCCCGATGGAACATCTGGAAATTCAGGCCGGTGAAAACCTACCTAGATAAAGTGGTTGTGCTTCTTTGGAATTGCCGTTCACATCGTTACTGTAGTCGGCGATCTTGTAAACCTCCTGGTGATAATCTGGAATTTTCAAAAAGAAAAAGAAAAAAAGAAGTAAGAAAAGTAACTCAGAGTAAAGGATGTGGGTGGAAAATGAACACTCGGTGCACGATTGGATGCAGTATGTATTTCATAAGTTACGGATGCCTCTTCATTTTATTTTATTTATTGGTTTTCCAGTTTTACATTTGAGTATTTAGAAAGCAACGTGGTGATTGGGTTAATCAATAGTTCAATAGCAAAATCTTTAGTACATATCTCAGGTTACATCATCAAATATTTCATCTCTGTTTCCCTTAACATTTACTATATCGTGTTTAAGCTAGTAAATTTCTAATTATATCACTCAGTGAAAACTTCATTCTCACATTTATCAATACATTTTTGCTTATACATATCTTAATAGATCTTCATAAACAATCCATATCCTGTTATTAAGTTTTACCTAATTTTTAATTTTTAATTGCAATACTCCAATTTGATCTTTAATCTCCATAGTATGCAAATCGGCGGAGTCCGGAAAAACACACACACGGAAGCACATGCCGAACCTTAAAAATAAAAACACAGGTTGTCCTCAACTTACAACAATTCGCTTAGTGACCTTTCAAAATTACAAGGGCACTGAAAAAAGCGATCTATGACCCTTTTTCACACTTATGACCGCTGCAGTATCCTCACGGTTACGTGATCGAAATGCAGACGTTCGGCAACGGATTCGTAATTATGACAATCACAGTCACGTGATCCCCTTTTTGCGACCTCCTGACGAGCAAAGCCAATGGGGGGAAGCCAGATTCACCCAACAACCGGGTTACTAACTTATCAACTGCAGCGATTCACTTAACAACGGTGGCAAGAAAGGTCGCAAAACGGGGCAAAACTCACTTAAGAAATGTCTCGCTTAGCAAGAGAAATGTTGGGCTCAATTGTGGTCATAAGTCGAGGATTACCTGTAATAATAATAATAATGATGATGATGATGATGATGATGATGTTGGAAGGGATCTTGGAGGTCATCTAGTCCAACCCCCTGCTCAGGCAGGAAACCCTGTATCAGGGCTTTTCAACCAGTGGTACGGGTACCACCAGTGGTACATTGGCACCTGGCAGGTGATACGCGACCACCTAGAAAAGTGGTAGCGGGGGAGGGGAATGAGCTGAACCGGTGGCAGCACCGCACAAGCCTGAGCAAGAGATGGCTGGAGCTGCAGGGCTGTCAGGGCTCAGCGGAAGCGCCAGGATCAGCACCAGGCTCCAGCTGGAGCTCGGCGCTGATCCTGGCGCTTCTGCTGAGCCCTGAAGAAGCACCAATCAGCTGGAATGTTGCAGCCTCTCCAGGGTCTTGTGATTTACATTCAGATGCTTGGCAACTGATTCATATTTATGACGGTTACAGTGTCCCAGGGTCATGTGAAGTGACCAAAACCTGCTGCAACCACCCAGCAGACGGGGGGAATAAAAACCAAACACCCCCCACCCCACCCCCGCTGCCAATCCTCAACAGAAATGCTCACAATGAAAACCTCGGACAGGAGGAAGAACGCCACCGGGCGGGCAGGCAGGTGTCTTGCTCGGCTGTGGCTTGGGGGGCACTTTTTTCAGTGCCATTGTAACTTTGAACAGGCACTAAGTGAACTGCTGTAAGTTGAGGACTACCTGTACTTTTATCACTTTTTTCCTTTTTTTTTTATTTGGGTCATCAAGTTTTTGACCCCTTGCTAGGTGACTGGTGGTACTCGGATATTGCCATATCCTACAAGTGGTACAATGGGTGAAAAGGTTGAAAAGCCCTGCCCTATACCATTCCAGACAAATGGCTGCACAATCTCTTCTTAAAAGCCTCCAGCGATGGAGCACCCACAACTTCTGAAGGCAAGCCATTCCATTGATTAATTGTTCTCACTGTCAGGAAATTCCTTAGTTCCAGGTTGCTTCTCTCCTTGATTAGTTTCCATCCCTTGCTTCTTGTCCTGCCCTCTGGTGCTTTGGAGATTAGGTTGACCTCCCCCTCTTCTTTGTGGCAGCGCCCCCAAATATTGGAAGGCTGCTACCAGATCACCCCTAGTCCTCCTTTTCTTTAGATTAGTCTTACCCAATTCCTGTAACGGTTCTTCGTATGAAAAGTGCTTATAAACCGGCAGAGATCTGCAACTCTCCTTTCGCAATAACGTTAATGGGAAGCCCAAAGAATCACTTTTAATCTCTTCGCCTTTTTTTTTTTTTTATTTGGGAAGGTTGCCAAAGAACATTAATAGAGCCAGCTCATCAGTGGAAATTAACAGCAATTTCAAATAAAACTCAATACAGACAAGGAAAGTAAAGACTTCCTTTCCACTGAAGGAAAAGTACTCATCTTCCTGTTAATTAAATTGGATAATTAACAGTAACATGCAGGGGAGACAAAGGAGAATTATGACAAGCAAGTGCAGCTAGGCAAACTCTATTTCTGAACTTCGTTTTCTAGCTGCAGGCTGCAGTGGTTACATTAAACTTTCAAGTGTTTTCCAAAGATGTGGGGTCTGTTATAAATCGTATCTATTACATCTCCCGGAAGCCCAATCGCATTTGCAATTACAGATTAATATTTTAAAACACAGACAGCAGTTCTCTTTGGATAAGTTATGTGGACAGCGGGTCGTAGAAGACTATTAAAACTCTCTATTTTCTGAGATTTTCCACACCTGTGAAAATCCCTGTGTTTTTTTTCAAGAACATGTGCTAGATAACAGGGGTAGGCAACCTTGGCTCTTTTATGACTTGTGGACTTCAACTCCCAGAATTCCTGAGCCAGCCATGCTGAGGGGAAAGAGAGAGTTTCCAAGCTGAGTCATGCTGGCTCAGGAATTCTGGGAGTTGAAGTCCACGAGTCAATAAGTGGCCTAGGCCAGAGGTAGGCAACCTTGGCTCTTTTATGACTCGTGGACTTCAACTCCCAGAATTCCTGAGCCAGCCATGCTGAGGGGAAAGGGAGAGGTTTCCAAGCTGAGCCATGGTGGCTCAGGAATTCTGGGAGTTGAAGTCCACGAGTCATAAAAGAGCCGAGGTTGCCTACCTCTGTGTTAGAATCTGTCTTAGAGAATACTGGCAGTCCCCAATGTGAGGAATAAATTTTAGAATATGAGTGAAGCTAAGTGACACGTAAGTTATAGGATTTCCACATCCTAAACTATAAGATTTCCACACCCTAAGCTATAAGATTTCCACACCCTGAGCTATAGGATTTCCACACCCTAAGCTGTAGGATTTCCACACGTAAGCTATAGGATTTCCTGGTTCGTGTTAAAGTACATATAAGGGAATAGGTGAAGCAAAAGAAAATGTTGAGAAGGGGCAGGGATAATGTATTTTTTTTAGGCCAGGGCTTTTCAACCTTTTCACCCATTGTACCATTTTTAGGATATGGCAACATCCGAGTACCACCAGTCGCCTAGCAAGGTGTCAGAAACTTGATGACCCCCCCCCAAAAAGGAAAAAAGTGATGAAGTACAGGTAGTCCTCGACTTACAACAGTTCGCTTAGTGACTGTTCGAAGTTACAATGGCACTGAAAAAAGTGCCCCCCAAGCCACAGCCGAGCAAGACACCTGCCTGCCCGCCCGGCGGCGCTCTTCCTCCTGTCCGAGGTTTTCATTGTTGTGAGCATTTCTGTTGAGGATTGGCAGCGGGGGTGGGGTGGGGGGGTGTTTGGTTTTTATTCCCCCCTATCTGCTGGGTGGTTGCAGCAGGTTTTGGTCACTTCACATGACCCTGGGACACTGTGACCGTCATAAATATGAATCGGTTGCCAAGCATCTGAATGTAAATCACAAGACCCTGGAGATGCTGCAACATTCCAGCTGATCGGTGCTTCTTCTGGGCTCAGCAGAAGCTCCAGGATCAGCGCCGAGCTCCAGCTGGAGCCTGGCACTGATCCTGGTGCTTCCACTAGCCCTGACAGTTCCGAAGAAGCGCCGATCAGCTGGAAAGCGGCACTGATCCTGGCGCTTCCGCTGAGCCCGGACAGCCCTGCAGCTCCAGCCGTCAATCGCTCAGGCTTGTGCGGTGCTGCCACCGGTTCAGCTCATTCCCCTCCCCCGCTACCACTTTTCTAGGATGGTCGCGTACCACCTGCCAGGTGCCAACGTACCACAGGTGGTACCCGTACCACTGGTTGAAAAGCCCTGGTTTAGGCGATCCTGATAAGATTGTAACCTCTAAAGCCCAGTCAATGGGGCCATAGGGGAGGGACCAAGGCGTCGAGATAGAATGTATAAAATGTGTGTTTTTACTGTGAAAAGGTGTGGCTCAAATATTGATTTGGAGTCCACCACGCTTTGCAAAACGTTGTATCCAATAAATCTCTGTTTAGTTTCAACTTGCTGCATGGTATTATTTAGCAGGTGAGAATTTCTACCAACACCAACTTACAGCTGTTCATTTTGTGACTGTTCAAAGTTACGGCAGTGAAAAAAGTGACTTATGACCCGTTTTCCCACTTACGACTGTTGTAGCATTTTTATGGTCACATGATCAAAATTCAGACACTCGGCAACTGACTCATATTTATGACGATCGCAGCGTCCCGGGGTCACGTGATCCCCTTTTTACGACCTTCTGACAAGCAAAGTCAACGGGGGAAGCCCGGATTCACTTTACAACCGTGTCACTAACTTACCAAACGTAGTGATTCACTTAACAACCGTGGCAAGAAGCGTTGTAAAATGGGACAAAACTCACTTAACAAAGTGTCTCGCTCAGCAATAGAAAATTTGGGCTCAATTGTGGTCGTAAGTCGAGGACTCCCTGTATTTTCATCCCCTTTCCACAAAAAGTCTGGTTTTTTTTAACTGGAATTGGAATTCTCCGCCCGTTTCAAATGTAAATTTTTTCAATCTCTTATCAAGCAATTTTGTTCCGTCCCACCTTTTTAAGGAAGAAAACAAACAACATTCTTCAAATGTTTGGGAACTACAAGTGGTGCTTGACCTATAATCACAACTGGGATTGGAATTTCCGTTGCTAAGCGAGACGGTTG